ACTCAGCGACAGTTTTGTCAACACTGACTCCTGGAACATGATCAATATTCATTTTGGACCTCAGGGCAGCAACACAACTGTAGGGATGAACGACACACACATCACAACATCATTATCATAATCACTGCGTCCCATATATGCATTCACAACAACCTACATGACAAATGTGGGGTGTAAAGTCTTCCTCAGGAGATGACAATGGCCATTCTTCTAATTCTGGAAGCAAAGTCTTGTCTTCCCAGTCAATACTAGAGAAAGAAGAGGTCAGCAGAAAAGTATCTAGTCGTTATGGCATTGTTTTTTTTTTTATAGTTATTTAAAACCTCTTAAGCCCAGAGGCCTTTTTTCCCGAAAAAGCTATAATCTACATTTACTAAGGTTTCATATAGTATTTAGCCAGATATGTGGCCAAACTTGGTACCAAATTACCTGGTGGACCTTGGGGATTGCTGTGGAAGTGAAAAAAGATGATAAATTGTATTGGTTGCCAATAAAATTAGGTTGAAACAGACAATTCTAACTTCCGCCTAAAAAAAAAAACACATATTTTCCCTCAAAAAAGCTTTTTCCCTGTCTGTGGTGTAGCAAATAAGAACTAAAATTGACAGTTCCCGATATTTTGGACCAGTCCAGCAAAAATTGTGCCAAATAAACAAACCACTGCAGAGTTGTACATGGAATTGGAAAAAAAGTCCAGGCGGAATCCAACTGTGCCAAAATTGTGCCAAATGGCACAAACATGTCTGTAGAGTCATCGAGATAAACTTTGGCACCCGGTTCCCTAGCAAGAAGCTCTACAACCTCCTCGCGTGTATAACGCTGTTTTGCCATTTTTAATTTCGTCAAAATTCCGAGTACCTGCCGTGCGTAAAGGCATTGCGCACAGCCTCCTTCTGCCCCAACTATACGCATGTACACGCCTCCGCGGTACTTTGGCCAATCAGGGCATGTTATACCATTTTGGAAAGAACACACCTTCGGCTATCAAAAACCATTGAAAACGTATTGATGGACAGCACCTGTGGCCAATCACAGGAAGAGATACACAGAGGTACGTGACATGACGCACGGGTGCAGCCTATCACAAAGGGCCTCTTACAGAAGGAGGAATAACTGGTATCTGCCAGGTCGCTAGAAAGCCTCGCTATGAGGTTGAATACAAGAAAAAACGGACTTTTATTCCTATGGAAATGACTTGTGATGAAAAAACAGCAAAAGTAAGTCGACTTTTACTTCAACGCTGATGTTTTACGGCTTTGTTTTCTGGCATTCGTCTGCGGCTTGGTCAGCGAGTATTAGAGCTAGCGTTACCAGACTAATATCATTGTGTTCAGCTCGGAGAGGGCTTTCTAATGGTATGCTGACAGCAGGGCTACTTATTGTTTTGAGGGCGCTTGTGACGCCAAAGCAAACATTTGTTTCGACATGTGCTTTATGACGATTTGTCAGATTGTGGTTTGTTGTTTGAACCTGGGTCTGTTGAACTGAAATTGAAGTGGATAATGTTGTAGCTGAGAGTTGTCCGAACACGAGGATGTGAAACATGTGATTGTCAGTTGATGTATATGTCAGCTACGGTCCGGACAAGCTGCAGCAAGGGGGGGCGGACCCCGAATGGGGCGCAATCGGGCTGAAGAGGTTAACTTGCATTATGGAGGCTTTTGAACTCTTGTACATTGAAGACCTCATTCCAATTGATTTAGGCCATACTGGAAAAGATACAGAGAAAAGAATGCAATGAAGACATGTAAATTATTACAATGTCTATATTATATCATGCTCATAATTTATTTGGTAGTAGTCAGCAAGACTTGTCTTACTTATTCTCAATACATAATAATAAAAATGTATGTAGTGGTCACGGAAGTTAGATTTGAGGTAAAGAGATATTGTTTTTATAACAATAAAACTAATATACAGAGTGCAAGTTGCAAAACTTTCGTAGCAGCCACATCATATTCACAACTACAGACAGCTAATGCTAACAGCTAACGCTAATGCTAACAGCTAACGCTAATGCTAACAGCGAACGCTAATGCTAACAGCGAACGCTAATGCTAATGCTAACAGCGAACGCTAATGCTAACAGCGAACGCTAATGCTAACAGCTAACGCTAATGCTAACAGCGAACGCTAATGCTAACAGCGAACGCTAATGCTAACAGCGAAGGCTAATGCTAATGCTAACAGCGAACGCTAATGCTAACAGCTAACGCTAATGCTAACAGCTAACGCTAATGCTAACAGCGAACGCTAATGCTAACAGCGAACGCTAATGCTAACAGCGAACGCTAATGCTAACAGCGAACGCTAATGCTAACACCACTTCACGGGGGAACTCTGGTGATATGGTCATTTAATGTTGTACATGTGGGGAACTAATAATTGACCGGAGTTTATGGATGGCTAAGGCTGGGCTAAGGCTTCGATGTTGTGTTGTCTGTTGTTGTTTCTCAAAGCTAAGCCAAGGTAATGCGCAGTTATTGCCACAAAATGCGGCCGTATTTCTACAACAGCTGGGGATTTTTAACTAGCTAACTTGGTGAAAACCCGCATTACAGTCTCAGGCAACAATATATATAAATAATACAACTACTACTGCCACTACTGAGTAACATGCTCACCTGTTCAGTCGGAGAGAGGAATCCACGGAGCTAGAGGTCGCCAACATGAGTGCAGCTGGTCACCATGTTGCTCCTACTTTTTGTCGTTCCTCTGTTTCTGGCGTTTTGCCTGTATTTAATAAATCCATGGTATTTCGTCTGCAGCAGCGCTGGAGGCGGCTTTTCCTTCTCCGCCATGTTTGTTTTGAAGAGTGCGCGTGCACACACGGGAGAAACCCCTTATAAGGCGTGCTCTCTCGTCATTGGATAAGCGCATAGGATGTGAGGTTTTTTTAATATATAGGTGGGAGAAGACTGGAAGGACTGAGAGATCCGTGTTTAGGTACAAACACTCTATATAAGTGATGGCTATTGGAATATATCAATATTTAAGACGTATATTAACACCCAAAAATCGCTTACTGCTGCTTTAAGTATTTCTTTTGTAAGCCTGGTGGGCCATTAATGACAAAATAAATATATTGTGTTGATTGAAAACAAATGTATTGGGCGAAGCAGTGACGCTACCCAGATTGCATTGCTGAGAAAAACAAACTTCTGAAAAATTCTATATTTGAGCATTCATTTTGAGAGTGAATATGGAGCAAGTCCTGAAGCAAAATACTTGAGCAATATTTTGAATAAACTAATTTGACCAAATAAATCGTTGCATTTATATTTACCAACCGTAATCGACAGGGCCAAGCCAAAGTAGCCCTATGCTACCTGGGTCATTCTATGAAAAGGTTTTAATATTAACTAAAAGTCACTTTGCTTCCATACAGTACATGACTGAAATTAAGCTCTAATTGAGTTTTGAGCATTATTGCTTCTCAATCTGAGAGTTCTAGAGTTCAGAACCTTAAGACTATGATGTTGAATGAGCTTGTGTTGTTTTGTTCATGGCATTTATAAAACTAAAACGGATTAGTACAAACAACTTACTAGTTAGTCTAGTGAGCTAATGAGTGTTAATAAAGACTGTCTTTAATGAACTTATATTTTTATGTTTATAGTATTTCTAAAACTAATCTTTATTGAGGGAACGAGTTTCCTTAAGAAACATTCGTTTTGCCCACTATCCGGGTTTACAGTGCAGCATTCACACACACCAGACACATTCAAGGTAATGAGGGTGAAGTGTCTTGCCTGAGGACACAACAACAGTTTGGCACTTTACAGCCGCCCCACTATAACACCTTGTGTCCCCTGAGGTCTCCCATCACAGGACCTGGCTTACACATGTATAAGAGACATTGAACATCCCTCAACATCAGTGTCACTCAATAAAAACATATTTTAAAAACAAGCTTTTGAATGAGTTGCAGTTGATTTAGCGTCTGTAGTAGAACCAATGGATGAAGTTCAGGACATGAGCGAAAATGCCTCCAACAAAATGTCACCCCTTGTACATACTGTACATGTTATAAAAATGTCTTAAAATAAATATATTTAATGAAAGAAGCATTGAAAGTATTGCACTTAAGAAAAAGACACACAATGCCTCACTTGAAAGAAAAATAGATCTATATTAATGTTGCAATGGTTATCAGTTTTCTGACTGTTCTTACTGTGTTTATTCAGTTACATGGTTTTATGACTTTAATGTAACACTAGTGGTAGGGGAAACCGGAGCAACCAAATTAAATCTATGCAGGGACACAGGGAGAACATGCAAACTCCACACAGAAAGGCCTGGAGGTGGAATCAAAGATCTTCTTGCTGTGAAGCACATGCACCGCTGTGCCACAGATGCAATGTTATACTTTCATAACGAGTAACACAAAGACCAATTACTGACGATGTCTCGCTATGAATCCATTTCATATTGTTTATCCTTTCTGCCAACTTCAATCCACTGAAGATGCCCGTCTTTTGTTTTGCTTTTCTAAAAGATTATGTAAATTATCATTGAAGTGTGAATTACTGACGTACATAAACACATCTTTGTAACTCAAGCATCACACATAAGCCGATTTTATTCAAAGAAACAAACACAAAGCCCATTTAATACTTTAATACAACTACAACAATTAATCATGATTGAGTTCTCAAATACTAAAATAATCATGAACTAATTTGAGTCAGTCAGAAAATATGTTTCATCCTAATTAAAAGTCCGTGCATATGTGAGAATGTCTTCTACCTTTTTTCCTTGTTATTGGCTTCACGTGGACTGGACCTATTTTATTGAACTTGTATATTTTTTTATTTCAGTTTCTTAAATCAGGTCAGCCTTCCTCTCCGCAGATTTAACTTGTAATTTAGGCAAGTGAAGTCCCTCTCTTTTCAAAACTTGATTGTCATTCAGTGGAACATACCAGGCTGGACCCTTCTAAAACCCTCCAGCAGGACACAACATTTCATTTAAATATATGTTTATTATTATTATTTTACCTGTGCTCCGAGTCGTCCTTCCTTGATTTTAGGGATGTTGGTGTGCGTCCCATTAAAAGTGTGTAGATCCACTTTGCTGAGCTGGTTGTTAAATCGTAGCCTCAATTGCCACGGCAGATCATTATGCCTGAGGAAGATGACAAACCTTTTCTTAAACGCTTAATTAACGGATGTGGCTTTAAGAGAGCTCATAAAACTACTTGTTTGTAAGATCATTGTGGGTAATTGCTTCCAGAAGATTAAGCCAAAAAAGTGCACAAAGTTTTCCCAGGATTTGCCCATGTATAGTTTTTAATATTTGTTTGCACTCACCCATCGATAAGCGGAGTCTCGGACATAAGCTGCAGAGCCGTGTTCAGGTAAGCATCCTCTGAGCAGCTCACAAAACATTTCACCCAAAATACCATAAAAAACACTTTTGTGAGCTCCATGGACATCATTCTCCCGGTGCGACTGATGCCAAACTGCAAAAGGGTTATCCGGTAGCTGCTTTCATCAAATGTTATCAGTCAACGTGAAGTGGTTGTTCAGTTATGCTTTTATGAGTTTCCCTGTTCGCCACTCCTCCTGTTGTCTGTCCCACATCACAGCGTCAGCAGTCACTAAAGTTTAATAAGTAGTTTGTACTTTTGTGGTCAATGTTTTATTATTCTTATAAACATTTATGGACATGTAAAATCATATATGGACATTGGTCATCTGCCCCTTATGGACCAATGGCTATATGTGTATTTATCATTATATATCTTGTCTAAAAATGGCTGATTTTCTGAAATAGGTTGGCGAATGTTGTAACTTAATAGTTTAATGGTTGGTTGTAATGGTTTAATAACTGCTGTTGTTATTTAGGACGATACAAGAATACACTGAATTGCATTAAATTGTACATATGTGGTCATTGTTTAATTATTCTGGGTCATAATTATGTATATTAAGACAGCCAAGACCATACTTAGCACCTGGTATTATAAAAGTATTGTACAAAAGTGCATTGAGCAAAGCATGGGGCAACTGGAAAGTAAGTCTAAGCAGTTATTGAGACCGTTATCTGCAAAAATATGCCACTTTAATCTCTGACACACTTGTTCTGAATCACTGTCATGGAAACAGTTGACCTTTTAAATTGTTTTCATTATGAATACAGCCTGTCACTTTTTTACCAACATCACGAATCCTTTACAACACACTGATTATTGACCTGTTGTCGGGATGATTTACGGCTTTTGGTTATTGGTCAACTCTTATCATTAATGAGTTAATCCATCAGTCCTTATTTATGGAGCCTTTACAACACAGAAAGTGACCAAAGTGCTGAGTGAACATCCTAGTTATCGTTTATGGTCACCCCATTTATTTTTTTGATGATGATTGTACTACATTCTATGATGATATTGCACAATAGTTAACAACTCACAACTACAATCAATGTTTAGGGTTACCGCACTGGTTCCTTGTGGTTCAGAGAATAGACTTAAAATCAGTACATAAGTGACATGTTAGACCCATATGAACCAACTCGGGCTCTGAGGAGCACAGGGACTAGCCTCCTGCTGGTGCCCAGAGTCAGGACTAAACATGGGGAGGCTGCATTTCTGATTCATGCAGCTAAAATCTGGAACAGTCTTCCTGAAGATGTGAGACAGGTCTCCTCTCTGACAATGTTCAAATTCAGGTTTAAAAACAGTTCTGTTTAGCTGTGCATACAACTGCAGGATTTTTATCTTCACTCTTTTTAATTGACTGTGATTTTTAATTTATCATTATTTATTATTTAATTATTTATTTTAATGCCTTGTCTGAGTGTCTCTATCTTATTCCGTTCTGCACTTTGAGTCGCCTTGTGTTTGAATTGTGCCATACAAATAAACTTGCCTTGCCTATTATCCCTCCAGAGAGCATCATTGTGACCTATGTGAATTATCAACAGTTTTCACATTCTGTTCCAAAATCCTCATAATCAGGCCACGTTTTGAAAAAAAATGTCCTTATCTCATTTTCTCCAGTCAGAGCGACCTTTATTCTGTTGTTGTTTGTTCTAACCCCAGGAAAGAGAATAATGCTCACCATGTGATAATGCTTAATGTGTGATTTTGTGTGTAAGTACTGTAATCATTTCTCTATCACATCCTCCACAGTCACAAAGCGCTTTAAGATTCATGTGGGCATTTCTCCTCTCTTTCCACCCAGTGATGAGCAGGGTTGCCAGCAAGAGGCACAAGCAGCAGATCTATTAGTGGTAAGGGAAACTGGAGCACCCAGAGGAAACCTATGTAGACACAGGGAGAACATGCAAACTCCACACAGAAAGGCCCGTATGAAGGTGGAATTGAACGCTGGACCTTCTTGTCGTGAAGCATTAGCGCTAGACTGTGTCATTTTTGTAAAAGCGACCTATCAGTTTTCTGGGGTTGAAGTTTTCAGTGCATGTTTTGAGTGATTGGGGGAAACCTGGAGCCATCAGGGGAAACCAGCCCCAACAACCCACATGGTAAGATCTGCACTGGGATCAAACCTGGAACCTTCTCTACGTGAGCCATGAGTGCTATCCACTCTGTGTTGTGCTACTGGTGAGAGTTCTCTGTTTGAAAGAGGAATGCACGCCACAGCTTTCTTCTTAAAAATCCTCTGTCACTTTGTCATTTCATTTGGCTGTAGCAGCTTTACTGCCGCTGCAAAGACCCACATGAATACAGTAATTCTTTATTGGTATCTGCAAAGGGTCGGGTAAACAAGAAAAAGGCTGCATATCGCCATCAGGCCACAAATTGGATTAAGAACTGAACAAGAAAAACAGTGTGTAAATGTCGGTAGATGCAAAAAGGGTGGTGGGTTTTTAATGTTTGTTTTACAGGTTTTTACTAGGATTATCAAAAGTATCGCGTTAACGCACGTTAATTATATTATTCCTTAATTGTGTTAAAAATGTTTTTACGCGTTTAGCGCATGTCCGAATGACCCGCCCATGTATCCCATAATATCACTCAGAATGCCGCCGACACATGCGTGTGTGAGATGGCGACAGAGCAGGGTGGTCCTCTGGTAATTCAAGTTTTAAAAGATTACGCGCATGACAACGGGGAACTTGCTGTTGTTTGCTGTATGAACTGAAGTTCGCATCCTCCGTGGCTGCAGCGTTCTGACCCGGGGCAGCTGCGGCCGCTCTGAACAGCGGTTCCCACCTCCAGCGGCTGTGAGCCACTCACAACAACACAGCTCATGGCGCCGCGGAAACGTGGTCATATCCAAGACCATACCACACAACATGCAGAGAATAGTTCTGTGCATGTCTTTGCGTAACCTGTGCACGCAATAAATACACAGCTGAAGCTGAACTATGGAGCCTTAGGAAGTGTCCGTGTCGCCTCTTGAAACGCAACTAAACTCGCTAAATTAAAGCTGGGGTACGTACATTTTCCCTTTCATTAACAGCTCATGTTGTTTGTGCCCAAAAGTAAAAGGTTGTGAGCAAATCTAACAGATGTAAGTACATTTGGTATGAATAACAATGTGTCATTACATTTGATCATCTCATTTAACTTCAGTTAGAGTGGATTTGAAATAGAATGTTAAAAATGTGATTAATCGTGAGTTAACTCACCATTACTGTGCGATTAATCAACAAAAAAATGTTAATCGTTTGACAGCCCTAGATTTGACATTTGTATGTATGTTGTGTGTGTTTTACTGATTTAAATATACAGTGCTTGCACCACCTGAAGCATCCCGCCTCCCCACGTGACTCGCGATTAGGACACCTGCGCCTTGTGCATAAAAAGAGGAGATGGGGGAGGAAGCCGGAGAGCGAGACACAGGGCCAGACGCGGGAGACAAAAGCCCTGTAGGCTGGTGGTCCAGGCTGTGCCCACTGAAAGGAGATGAAGGAGAGAGCGGACTGAACGGCAGTGCCTGTTTTTAGCCATGATTTTTAGCCTCCTTCTTTTATCTTTTAGCCTGTGTTTTTAGCTTGGGTTAGTGCTTTTATTTGTTTTATTTTAAATCGTTTTAACTTGATTTTTAATCCAGTGGTTCTTTTTAAAACCGGCTGCAAAGAACCAGTTTTCCCACTAGTGACATTTTAGTTTGTTTTCAAAATTAAGGTAATCCTGGTAACGGAGGCGCAGCGGTGACTGAGGCGCAGCGGTGACGGAGGCGCAGCGGTGACGGAGGCGCAGCGGTGACGGAGGCGCAGCGGTGACGGAGGCGCAGCGGTGGCAGAGGCGGTTAGAGCTTGTTTTCCACCTCCACCTGTATGGAGTTTGCAAGTTCTCCCCGTGGTTTCCTCCGGGTGCCCCGGTTTTCCCTACTGCTAAAAACACGTACAATAGGTATGAAAGTAATGAGTGGGTGAATGGACAGTGTTGGTTGGAGGCTTTGATGTGCCAACGTGTTCGGCGTCTCGCTTCCATCATCACCGTTTGTGGAGTGAATAGAAAAATATCTGAACACCTCAACTTTGTAAAGTGTGACCTTTTGGGTGACACTGGTCTGTAAAATGCAATAATAAATAAACATTACACTTTGACTCAACCACTGAAAAATATTCAGAAAGGAAATGTCAACAATTGAATTGAATATATCTGGGGCAACAGTGGCCACCACAAAAACTACTTCAAAGCTCCCCCTGATGTCTGCTGTCGTTGTGTCCTTGGGCAAGACACTTAACTCCACTTTGCCTGAAGCCCGCACTGAAAGATCAAGGCAGCTCAAACAAGAGCAGCCACCCTAACCCTAACCCCCAACCCTCACAGCTAATTTACACGGGAGGCGTTACAGCATGCACGTGTTGTACGCGCGTAACATTTTTCCATGTTAACCAATTGTGATATTTACACTACCAGTGTTATACGCGCGTATGACGGACGTATTGACGCGAGGCTAATGTAGGATGAATTTCTAATTTTGTGCCCGCAGCAACGCGTCTCTCATTGAAAACAGATGTGAAATATGATTTTTCTAGTGGTCCTTGGCTCTAGATCACATCTACACACACACAGCACTTGTATCTAAACATTAGCAGGAGCAGCAGGTTTTATATTCTGGGCATTGTTTCTTTTTTCTTTCATAAAGTCTCACGTCTGGCTAAACCAGCGCGCAGAGGCCATGAAGACAGACACATGCATTATATAGTTATGACTTAAAGCCATGTGTCATTATTACAGTTGCTCCAAATGAAAAAAACATGTTAACTAATAACAGATATGACCTTTTAAAAAATATTTATCTTCACCATGTTTTTTTAAAGTGTTTTCATAGGCTTAGAATTGAACTCATAAGTGTCCATGAGAGAAGGGTGCTCTGAATATGCGCCATCTTTAAAAATAGTGGTGGATAAGGGACAAAAATGATGCGAGAATCGCGTTGTCGTTTCTGCTGCTACTTATATCGTTGCTTTCACCGTGCCTTCATAAGTTGGAAGAAGGAACCATGAAAGACCACAGTT